CAACAATTACTTTTTTCATTTTTTGTCTAAGTGCAATGATATATGTATTTTTTTCTGTTTCTTTGGAAAACTGAAGTTTTGTATGTATAACATTGTTTTACTTTTGTCTGACCACATGCTTTCCAGGTGCAGCCCACTAGTTTTCCATGATACTTTTCTTTATTTTGCACACATCATATGGTGAGGCCTAGCATCTTCAACACAAAATTTGTGCATAATTTTAAATTTACATACAACAACTTCAAAATGTGAACACAATCTGTGGGACGTTCAAGTTCTTTTCCATAAACAAAAAGATGCAATAGGATTTAATAAAATGAAAAAATATATGTGTTGCCATATGGCAACAGTATGCAGCAGTTCCATTGTCACATGCTGTTCCCCCAACAATTTTTTATTTAAAATCTTTTTAAATATTTCTATTAACTATGCCATTTGACATAAGAAAAAATAGCATTGTGATTACATTGCTACATATTACAAATGCGATACAGCTTGCAATAAATAAAACTAATATAAAAATTATATTAAACACATTGGTGAATCAAACATGTAACAAAGATTTTTCCTGCATTATTTTATCCAATAATTGACTTTTGCTGGATTACATTAACACAGAAGCTCATCTGGAACTCTGATTGGTCAGGATGCTCACAGGACACAGTAAAAACACGGATTTTTTAGGAAGCTGATTTGCATATTACAGCCTTCTATGAAATCAGTAGTACAAAGGCTAGTATTGTGATAACTAATAAACAATATATTGTGCAGCCCTTTCTTCCAATATAAAAACTGAATACAGAGATGTCCTGTGTTTGATTGACAGGTCGGCTGAAGGTGATTGCGCTGGCGTCTGCAGTGGGCGTGTCCATAGGGCTCGTCACACTGACCGTGGCCGTTATGATCAGGTGACCATTAAATCCATTCTGGTGTAGATTCATAATAGTCATGTCCATCCTGAAGCTGAACCTAACATGCAGGATGTCTCCCGCAGTAAGAATATGCACCGAGTGGACACTGAAGTGCTAGAAGAGGACAAGCAGGTCTTTTCACCATCTTACATATTCATATTGTCTGATGTTAAAACATATAATGGAAAACCAAATGTTCCTCAGTCCATACAATCCACATAATGGAAACTCACATATGGCCCCTCATTCAGCTTATAGTGGCTTAGCCAACCTGTTCCTGTTGAAGTGATGCGGAGTGTTGTTACTGCTTAGCATGCACCATTACGATTGGAATTCAGGGGAAAACACAAAATACAAGAAAATGTGGAATAAGTCTCCTTAAATTTCTTAGTGTAAAGGCGGTTTTAAGTTCTGTCGATAGAATTATTTTGTCTCTTAACATTATTGCAGCTGGGATCCCCCATGGAAGTGGACGCACTGGTTTACGAATCCCCCCAACAAACGCTTCAGCTCCGGAAAACAAAGATGGCAGACATTCCAGTGCGTTACGCTAAACTTTTTCATTAAGATAAACATGATAAAGCAGTTATTACGTTTAATCTCCTATTGATAACATATATTTCAAAGAATTCATCTATTTCTTTCCAAAATGTATACAGAGAAACAAAAAGAGAGAAAGAAAGAAGGAGTGTAGTTCACTCATTTGATGATTATGAAGCTATCAGTGAAGGAAAGCTACAGAGAAAAAGTTAGCGTAACGCTAACTGACCTCCCAGTAGATTTCAATCACTGTTAGCATCTTACCTTTTTGGGGAAAGTAAAATAACTTATTATTTGGTCCAAATGATGCAGTTCTCATCATTTCTTTCTGTTTTTGCGGTAGGAGGAACCAGAAGAAGTGTACGAGAACGCTCACCCTGCTATCGTTCCCCTTAAGGAGGCCGCAGAGAACACTGAGGGAGATGGGAATGATGGGAAAGTGAAGTATGTCACTGTGCATTACTCTAGAATGCCCAGGTTAGGGTCTCATCCTTTGTATTGATACACAATACTGCAGCTAATGAGAAGAGTAGCTCACCACAAAATGCTAATGTGGCTAACAGTAAATAAAATCTATTAGCACAGAAACAGTTGCTTTTAAAGTAACAGCTTTCCTCTCGTTTTCATTCATTGTTTGCCATGTTAGCATTTTTGGGCTAATGAATTCCTCTGAGTTGTAGCATTTATGGGTCATTTTTGTTCTTCCACAGCCTGGGCCAAGCGCAAATCACTAAAGTACCACTGGATGGCACAAAAGATCCTAAAGAGGGGCCCAGTGTTCTTTACTCTGTATTGGCCAAACAGCCACAGCGGTGATTGTGGAATTCAGATTTTTTTACAGTACCTGAGACGCCAAATCTCAGTGTTCTTCATCTTCATTCCTCATCTAGCTAATTATCAAAGCCTCCTTACGAGTTAAATCAGATAAACCTTCATGCAAAACATTGTGATAATGTGCTAATGTGGCTAACAAGGAATGATGTGGCCAGGTAGCATGATGTTATGTCAGATTAGCCATGCTAGCACTGTTTGGTTGACCTGGCCTTATAACCTTTTGTGAACTATTTCTTAATCCACACTACTTGTGATACCTAGAATAATCACATTTACTGGGTATCAGAAGGGTTCTCAATCTAAAATGGAACAATTTAGGATCCCATACTGTTCCACTGCCCAAGAAGGTTCAACTTTGAGGAAAACAGTTTTGCATCAGACTCTGTTAGTGATGGTCTAGTTAGCATAACAGACCTTTTCAAAATTTGTCTCTTGGTCACGAGTCATGAGTCCAACATAAGACCTTATGATTTCTCTGCATATTAATGCAAAGTTACAAAAAATACTGACATGATGTTGTTTTTGTTATGCAACCAAAAGATTGCCTTGTCTTGTAATGCCTGATGTACTAATAACTAACAAACTGTATCAGTCCTTTATGAATAATTGAATAATTTGTTTCATTAATCTTCCCTCTTTTAATAAAACCATATTACGCAGACAATCCTGGTTGTTTTGATATGGTACTGTTTCAATACTGTGTTGTGTAATATGATATTACATTGTTTTCATGACTTAGCAAAGATGTTTGAGTATTATCTCGCCCAAATGACCACATCTCCTCACACATAGTACACAATGTCTTGTGTAAATCTCTGACCTCACAAATGATTCAACTGCATTTGGAAACCACAAAAGCTCAAATTCCGTGATTTGATTGGGTTACAGAAGAGAATTCTTCTGAAAACTACCCTAAATACATAAATGCAAATGTTCAAAAGTTCTAGATGGCACTTCTAAAGAGTGAATTCAGCTACTTTAAGGTTGCTAATATAGGTGTTCAATTGTGCCCATACAGCTTGTAAAACCCCCATAAAAAAGCATTGCCAACTCTGGAGTGGCCTGAGGTCACTGTGCCCAAAGCCAAGCATCAGATAAAGAGGTATAAAAAAGCCCCCTAGCCCTAGGCACTGGGGCAGTGGAACTGTTCTCTGGAGTAATGGAGCTCCATCCAATACCTTTGGGATGAGTTGGAGTGATGTTTGTGAACCAGAACTGATCATCCAACATCAGGACATGATCACACTAAGGCTCTTGTGGCTGAATCCAATCAAATCCTCACAGCAATGTTCCAAGATTTAGTGTAAAGCCTTCCCAGAAGAGTGGAGGCTATTACTGCAGCAAAAGGGGACAAACTCTAATAGTGAAATATGGATAAAGCCAAAAATTAGTGTATTAGCATATTTCTAAATAATATGATGAATTATTCTAACATTCCAAAATTGCTATTGATCTTCAGATTAATGCTTCATAATTCACTTACATCCCTATTTGGTAATACTAAGGCTACTTTGGCTGTGGTTTATGCAAACAAACAAACACAAACAAACAAATATACAAACCAAAACAGTGCCAATATACGTATGAGGGTTAATTAATGTATTTATTTACTTGAAGCTTCTACAATGTGGTCAAGTCTTGGGTCTAGATCACTATGTGGACTCTTAAAAACACACCAAGATTCAGTGCGTCATCATGACTGACTCAGCTCTTCTCCACCACTCTCTCACCGAGCACTGAAGAAGCAATCAACTGTGCATAAGAAAAAGTATGTCTCTCCAAGTGGCCGAGAGAGCAGTAAAGGCAGGTCAATAGCGGAAAAACCCTTAAAGCTCACCACCGCAACCAACGGTGCCACTGACGTCACCAAATGACGCATGCACGATTCCTAAGACCATATAAATGTTACACTGTAAAGATATCTAGGAGTGTTTTTCCATCTCAAAAGCAACAAGAACAGACTCAGTACTTACAGTTGTAGTTTTAGTTCTATACATTGTATGCCAGTCGTCACTTCTAAGCTTAATAGCCTAAAGTGAGGCACTTGTGTAGGCCTTAGCTTGCTAACTACCACCTTACATCAGCAGGAATTTAAAACCAGTTGAGTTGTTTACTACATTAAAACATTAAGTAATACACTAAATAAATGTTGCATGAGATCTCAGCGATATCTGGGTAAGTTCCACTCCTGAGGAATTTGAGTAAACTTGGGCTGAAACATATGGACATGAGAAGAGTCTCCTAGCAAATTTCAATGAGGGAACATAGAAACATGGGAATTACAAAGAGGAACACAAGGCCTGGGAAACACAGATGACCCCCATGAGTGCTAATACAATTAGAGTGTCTGTTTCCTAGAAATTTTAATGAGCAAATAAAGGCCCCAGGGAACATAGAACCATGGGGTCATAGGAATGACTCCCATAAATGCTAATAATTAGAGACAGTGGTCTCCATCTGTGGTCCTGGAGAGCTGCCTACCTGCAAAGTCTACTTCCAACCACACTTTGCTACACCTGCTACAGCTAATTACCCTCTTCCCAAGTCCCTAATTGGATGGATCAGATGTATTAGAGTTAAGTAAAGGGTGGGGCAGCTTAGGGCTTCAGCAGGAGGTGTTAAGTGTATCGTTGAGTACTATCAAGTTTTGGTACCAACACTGAACAGATGCTAGCCATTATTGCTAAGCTAACGGAGTGGAAAATGCTCTTAAGATAATCCTCAGCTGACAAGTGTCATGGATGACAATATTTCAGAAAAAAACAGGTTTATATCTTTAATACAAGAGATTAACACTCAAACATTTATTAGTTCATTTACAGTGCATTGTAGGAATATGTAGTATATGTGCTTAGAAGTTGGAACACTAGAGTTTATGTTTTCATCCTACTTATGGTAGTTGCCACCATATACTGGTACAATTACATTAAATACAATGCCATAGTAAATAAATATTAATAACAGGCTGCCTCTTGTTATTTTCATGGTCAAATTTGAACAATTTGAAGGTGAGCATAAAAATGATATAGCAAATTAACACTATTGGGCACTAGATGGAAAATAAAATGTCTCTAGTTTGCAGTCTCTTTACAGCTTCATTCATTCATTGACCTGATCTTGACATGTTGGTGTACAATGATCTGTACACTGGACAGCGTTCAAAGGATGCCGTCAGCATTAGTTGCTGTCCGAAGTGATCTTGAGCGTTTACGCCTGAAAGAACATATCGGTGTTAGTCATTCTAATAGGACACATAATTCCCCTTTCTTGTAAATTTTGTTGATCAGCCATGATCCACTTTTGTGTCTGAAGTTTGTTCTATAGTTGTAAACTTTATCTATCCAGGCTTCAAAATGGCTGCTACTGTTTTTAGCAATTAAATATACTTTTAACCTGTCATACAGTGTCAGAAACCACATACACAAGTCTATTTGAGCTTACTTTCCTTGTAGCTACATTGGCTTCTTATATCCAGTGCTAAACTAAAAAAGCACACTTCATACAGCAAACGTCTTGGCTGATCAGCTAATTTGGTTAAGCTATTGCTTTAATGTTTATGTCTCGGGTAATTTAGCAGACTTAATTAGCACAGGTCCTTACCTTCTTACACAAACAGCAATAATGACTACTGCTATCAACGTGAGGACGACTCCCAGCACAATGCCAGTAAAGGAGAAACCGCTACCATCTGCAACACAGAGATTTCTCCAATTAATACACAATCAGTGTGGATATCTCATAACAACAGTTACAGTTCTGCATGAATTAGGGTGTGCAACATGTAAATTATATGTAAATGAGATGCTGGTAGGCTGGCACTTGAATTCACACACTGAACCCGATTCATGGCTGGCGCTCAAATCTGCACTTGTTTCCAAGCTGTACAAAAGTTTCACGAAATTGTACTTTAACTGTATTGAATAAGGGCCTCTATGAGGGCCCCAAGGAAATGTTAGGGTCGGGCCTCCCCCGCAAGCAGTTATGCCACTGAGTTGCATTCAATACTTATAAGAGAAAAGACATTTGTAAATTAGACATTTAAGTGGCTAATTTCATAACACACCTTTCTGGACGGTGACTCGAACAGTAGCCCCAGTGGTTTTGAGCCATGCAGGTATACAGCCCACTGTCTTTAGTGCTAACGCTCTCTATAATGAGCTTCTGGCCTGAACCTTTGGATGATGTTCCAGCTCCACTGCTCTTAAACCATGTGAAGTTCGTCACCGGTGAGGCAGCATCACTGCTACACGTCAGGGTCAGTGAAGTGCCCTCTACAATCTGACCAAGGCTACTCATTATCACTAAAGTGTTTACTGGTTCATCTGAAAGAGAAGTGGATGTTATACAATTCGCATGCAAAAGTTTGGGTGCTCCAGGTCAAATTGCATGTTTTTGTTGATTTTCTACGTGAAAATAAGTGACACATCCTTTACAGAGAACACATTTTGCACATTGTAATGCACAATTACTGTTAATTTGCTGAATTTAACATGTTGGTGAAAAACATAATAAGCAAACAAACAGTAATCATTATAATCATTACATACATACTTAAATGTGTTCTTTATAGAGGACATGTTAACTTATTTTCACTTTAAAATTAACAAAACGTAATTTGTCTGGGGTGTTCAAACTTTTGCATATACACGTGTGTGTATATATTTATGTATATATATTCATATATATATATATATATATATATATATATATATATAATCACAGTAAGAAAAATAATCTTTGTTGTTGTGTCTTAATATTTACATATAAAGCATTAGATATCAATATGATAACTCTAATTGTAGGTTTACCTAGTTAGTAGTTAAGAGAGAGGTTTCTAATAAATGAGCCTGTAAGTGTATATATCTAAACTGCACCTCAGATACATAAGAAGTCAAAACTGTCAACATACCGATATACTGCAAATTAGCTGCAACAGTATGTTCATTCTGATTTAACCCTTAAAAGTTATTACTTTTGTTTTTTTGATGTAATATTCAAATATGATTCCATATTTAATTCCTTAAGTTACGCAATGACTTATATTTATGCTTGATTGGCAAAATGTTACTATTGTATCTAGACCTTCAGTTCAGGCCATAAATGCCAAAACAAAAAAATACAGCTCTATGATAATGCTAATTTCTGCTAGGGTCCCTATGGGATTCTAGTAGTATGTTAGTGCTATGCTATTGGTGATTTATGAGGACATTGTTTGCCTGTTCTAGAAAAAACATAGACATTTGAAGCTTGTAAAGGGCATTTCATGCTATGATAGTGGTTAATCTGACACATTCGCCTTCCATTCAGCTCCTGAAGTCCTAGCCAATGGGAGAGCTCACTTGGCTGTGTCTGCCTAGAGACCACTGAGAAAAAAATTCTGATTGCATAGTTTTTTTTAAAGGGATTTTTAAGAATTTAGCCATTTGTTTCAAACCCAAACTTAAAAATGAAATAAGAGCAGTACTACAGTACTTGCTGAGTTTAAACATATTCTGTTTAATAAAAATGAATGTTAAAATGATTGACATTTCACTGAAATCATAAGGCTTTTAACAGAATCTCTCTGCTTGTTTGAATGAATTACAAGTGAGAAAATATTAACATTCCCTTACATCTTGGTTTTGTTACTGTTGCCAATAAAATCCAAGAATTAAACCACTTAAACTGTTATTATAATCTTAACTCAGTTTGTCTTAAACATTTCTTTCCACACTGCTGGGAAGTTTGTTCGTTGCTATTTCTCTTTTAGTCCTATTGTTTTTATGTCCACATTTGTGTAGAATGCAGCCATAGGACGACCCCCTGCTAAAAGCAGAATAAAGAAGAAGGCCTGTTGCTATGACAGCGTGTCACTTCTTCTTTTTCTAGTCACCTGGCCTTGCTTTTTCACACTTTCTGACACATTTGTACTGAAGACGAACAGATTCGAACAGCAGAAGAAGGTCATAAGGGTGTCACTATCATGTGTTTTGAGGAAAGCCCTATTTAGCATAAGTCTGTGTGATTCAGAGCGCTCAGTTTGACTTCCTCAAAGAGTTTCTGTTTCTGGTGCGTCTTTGACATACTGGAGATGTACTAAGACTGTGGCCACATGCAAAGTTTTATGCTCTTCTGTCTGTAATGCATATTTGCTAAAAACATAGTTCTAGTTGCAGGCTGCAGATAAGCTACTACACACTGGTGAAAATCCAGTGGGGGATCCTTCAGGGACGTCTCATGATGCAAATAATGAATATACATTAATAAAACTCTGCATGTATTGTAGTAATTATCTTATCTCATTGTTAAGTTTTGTTTAGAAACAAAGGGGTTAAACTCTTAAAACGTACAACAGAAAACTGTCCAATCAGCTGAGGCAGCTGAGTAAAAAGCTTTGCAGGTAGTTGCTTAAACTTGCACAGATAAATAACTGTTCTGGGCCTTGACGAAATCTCCCTGCCTGCTACTTCTGTTGTAACTACAGTGGAAGTTAACACAGTGGTTAAAGAGAAACTGTTGCGTCTGTAGCGTACGATTACCACAGATGACAATTTCCTGTAGTCAGTAAATGACAGAAGACCATTAGACTCAAAACGCGCTTATAATAGAAACCAGTATGCAGGTGATATTATAACTGTAGCTGACCATACGCTACACATACAGGACAAAGAGAATAGGTTGAAAAACATTGGAGTAGTCCTTTAAAACTAGTGACGCAGATTGGAGGCTTGTTGTTGTACGTGGAAGAATAAACAATAAATCGCCCCTTGATGTAATAAGGGCTTTTCTTTGGGCTTTGAGGTAAGGTGGCTTTAAAAAGTGCATTATTCCTTAATTCAGCCAAAAGTGGTACAACTTTCAGTTAATGAGCATTTGGGGTGCATTAAGCAGATAAAAACAGTGGTATGAGCCACCATAAAGCCTAAATTTTGCCCAAACTTTTGTCCAATTTTATAGACAACAGTATGTCATACAGTGTCTATTTGAGATGACTGAACAACTCAACATGGTTTAAGGCAAGTTTACCATGATTTAGCATGCAGTAGGCTGCAATGCTAATTGGTAGCTATAAGCTTCCGTTGCTTGTTAGACACATTAGACTTGAGATGAATTAGAGAAACAATTTCAGACACCAAACATGTCTTGGTTGATCAACTATATGGATCATTCTATTGAACTGGTTCGAAAGTCAGAGTTGAACTTATACCTTAATTAAGCTTATTTTATTCAAATAAATTATCCTTTTACTTTACCAAATGCTTCGGTAGGGAGTGTTTTGGTAGTGACAATTATGGCTAGTTTTGAGCAGAACTCTAGAACGCGAGCCTGCGAGAAAATCAGAATAGATCAGCATGGCTGGTCACCAACAAAACCAGCATATCACTGCTGTCAGAGGAAAACCTTGTATCTCCATTTTTTGTCATTTTTCAGTTTTTGACATAATTTGAAAATACCTGTTGCCCTTTACATTGTGTGTAAATTTCATGAAGAATGGAGCAAAAGAAATGGGCCAAAATGTATTGGAAAAAAAAAGTCTGGTTCCATTCACTTACCTTAAAATTAAAGTAGGTTTTTTCCTTCTCCTGTAAAGTTAACATTTTAGAGATATGAGGTTTTCTTCTGACAACAGTGATATATTGTGTTTTGATGCTGGTATGCTGGTCAACCAGCATGACCATGTTGGGTGACCAGCTAAAGTAGCACCAGAGCAGTATAACCAGCACAAACCAACTTAGACCAGCATAGACCAGCTTAAAATTCGTGCTGGTTTGTGCTGTTCTTTTCAGCAGGGTGGCCAGTACATGACTAGAAAACACAGCTTTGAACGTAAAATCATAATATTTTTTGTTAAAACACAAAAAAAAATAAACATAAAAATGTTCTTAATTGCAGAAAATGTGCAATTTGGTAGTGACAATTCTGAATGTTACACACTGATTTTTAGACTTTTGGGCACATTTACTTCAAAAGAATGGGATCTAACTGCTCACCATGTGGCCATGTGGGACAGGGAGGCACTTCTTGCTCTAAAAAAAGCAGCTCTGGCAAAAATAAGGCTTCGTCTATGGACTAAAACTCTTTGTGTTTTCGTAGTGAAAACTTGGAAAAGAATTTTTTTCCTTTAAAATTAAACTTAATTTATTTTAAACTTTTTTTCTTAAAAAACTTAATTGCTCAAAGAATCAAAAAGTTCTTTAAGAAACATTGAAAAAAGTTTCCTAATAGGAAGCCCCCTATAAATGATGATTTTGCATATATTTAGCTTATTTAGCTTATATAGATTGTAACATCATCCTTGTAAATATCTAATGTCTGAATAATTTATGTTTTTTGAATAATTGTTTTACTGTGGGGCCACAGTTTGAACTAACTTGGTAGAATGGTCCACATATGAGGTGAGGGGAAAGTTGTTAGTTTGATTTTCGGCCAAACCATCGCTTTAGATCTATCCGCCTATTTGGCCTACAGCAGTTTAGCCCTGCCCATTCACACTGGAGTTAAAAGGACTGGACAATCCAGGGCAGCCAGTCGGAATAGAGCACATTTACATATACAGGTCTTAAAGGTACAGTAACAAAAACAGCCTGTTTAATTCTAAGGGAAAATAAGGTTGGAAAATGGTCATTAAAATGAAATATGATTATTTTGGTACTCAAATGTTACGAGAGGACCTCAAAGGAAAAATAATATAAAGGAAAAATGTAGAACATGTGCCCTTTTATATTACCTGTTACTTGTAGAGTAAATCCCCTCTGGGCTGGCAGCTTTTTCACCGGGTGGTTCGTGATAAAGCGGAACACATAGACGCCGCTGTCAGTGGTCCTCAGGTCAGATATCCTGAAAGAGCAGTTTTTGGACCCTGTCGTGCCCAGGTACTGCACCCTGCCCCGGTACGCGGGGTCTGGAAAGATTCCATTGCTGTGGTAGACGTAGGTGGCCGTGATGCATAAGCTCTGGTTCCGACACCACATCTCAGAACGCACTTTGAAAGGCGTTCCCTGCGCCGAGTCCTCGGGGAAGTCATAGGTGCAGGGCACCGTCAGAGAGGAACCACGAGGGGCGCGGATTGGACTCTCTGGAACACGTACCACCCAGTCACCAGCCAGAACACCTACACACAAGAAAAGACACATTCAACTTTTATCTTGAACTACCTTGAATTAAAGTGGATATTGACACAATTGTGCACCCATGACCCACAGCAAACACATGGGATACAATAGCAACCACCTAGCAACACCCTAGCAACCACTTGGTGTGCCATAGCAACCACCTAGCAACCAACTGGGATACCATAGCAACCACTTAACAACACCCTAGTAACCATATAGGATACCGCAATCTAGCAACCTTCTGAGACACCATAATAACCAGCTAGCAATACCCAAGCAAACACATGGGATACCATAGCAACCACCTAGCAACCAACTGAGATTTCAAATCAACCGCCTAGCAGCACCCTAGCAACCACTTGGGGTACCATAGCAACCACCTACTAACACCTTAGCAATCCACTGGGACACCATAGCAACAACCTAGGAACCAACAGGGATACCATAGCAACTACTTATCTCACCCTGGCAACCATCTGGGGCACCATAGCAGCCACCTAGGACCCTAGTAATCACCTGGGGTCCCATAGCAGCCACCTAGCAACACCCAAGCAAACACAAGGGATACCATAGCAACTGCCTAGCAACACGCTAGCAACAACTTGAGATACCACAGCAATAAACTGGAAACATGGTATCTAGCTTAAGCGGCGCAATAACTGCATTTTCCTCAGGAAATGCATGCTTCTACTTCATAATGCAGCTCATCCATGCTAAGCATTTTCAACCAACTGTCAATATGATACATTTTATTATTCATAACTCTAATATCTTAACTATTTAGTCAAACATGAACATTTAGGTGGAGTGGCATATCTTGAGAGCATCAACTTGTTTAAGACTTAACATCAGCATTAACAAGCAAATTACATTGTATTCACTTTAAAATAAAGGTGTAATGCCATATAAAACGGGTTATACAGAATAAAAACACTTTCTGTGGTTCTCTAAGGTACCTTTCAAGTCTCAATTGAGTTTTATAGAAGCAAAAGCATCTCTTCTGTAGTACCACTCTAATGAATTCCAGAGGGACTAACTCTGTTGTACCTGCTTTCCTCTCAGATTGTTTAGACACACTATTTTGCGCTTGTAATCATCTACCGATAAGGCTTTTCCTCAATAGTCCCGTTACTGAAGAGGTGGTGCAAAAATGCAGACTCTCACAAGATTTAACCTTACCTGAGATAAATATAGAGGTCCAGATCCATCTGATCTCAAAGTGACCCACGCCCATCTCAGCTGCCTTGCTGTGAGGTTCTCCACAAATCTAAAGAGAGCAGCAGCTTTCAGAAACAAAGCCTGACAGATTTCACTTCTCTTTTTTTGATGTTGCCATGTAAGGCTTTTTTTGGTATTTATTTTTGGATGTTGAGTTTGCTCTGTTATATGGAAGGAAATTTTTTTCAAAATCCCTGTATAATTCAGTCTTTGAGATGTAAAACGTAATTCAGAGCAGTTTGACATGAAATAGTTAGTTGTAGAGAAACGATGAGACTTCTTTACACTGGTGGTGATAGGAACCAGGGGTCACCATGTCTACAACACAAATATAGCCATTTTATTTACTATCCAAAACCACCACATGTGTCTGAGTTTTTATATGTTGATGATGGTAAAATAGTCACAAATCTGAAAAAAAAGCTTTTCTTTAGGGACCATTCTGCCTTATAGCGCCCCGCATTTACCCCTCTGAGATGAATGAATTAAAATACATTTGTACTTTATCACAAAACTAGCATAAAACAATGTATCAGGCAGCATGTAGTTCTGACTCTGTAAGTTTCTCTAGAACAGAGCGTTTCACACCAAACCACCCTGAATGACTTTGTTTACATCTCAACCATTTTTTGACCAATTTTGTTCCCCTTTAACACCTTGTAAGAGTAACCAAATTGGCAGCTCAGGTCTTTTTATCTGTCAGGCTGTTTTATTGCCTACATTTGCATACAATGCATGCTATTAGCCTATGTGTGAGTCCTACAGCCCTGTTTCTTACTATTAGCAGTACACGGCAGTTGCTAAAGGCCCCGGAGCCACCAGGGGGCCCCAAGCATGCATATGAAAATGTATTTAGTATTGTTTGTTTAGTGCAGTCTAGAGATGCTTCTTTTCCATAAAGTTTTGCTTTTTCATTATTATTGCATTCAAAAGAATATGACTGGGTTGGTGGGATCTTCCAAGTACTGTGTTATTTAGAGCCCCCAGATGTTCCGAAGTGGTCCTGCTTTCAGGACTGCTTTAGTGTTGTAACGCTCAATACCAATGATTTCTGCGTTTACAAGACATAAATTCCCTTTTTACCACAGTCTTGACAAATTGTCCACCTGCTTTCAATGAGCTGTGAGTCTAAAAGGTACACGAAAGCACCTGTTGCCTCCATTTTCCACCCGTTTTCCTAAAAGCCACGCCCCCTGCTCTAACAGTTCGTTCTCACATGCGGTCTGCTCATGCGTGCAAGTACGAACCATCAACTAATCCCAGCGCAGGAGGAGGGATAAAACTAGCCAATCACAACACAGGGAGGCGGGACTTTCCCGAAAACGGGTGGGAAAAAAGACATTGATAGCCTACCTGGCCCTTGAGAACGGATTTTTCTATTTACTGACCGGAAGGAGCAGGTTTGGAACAGTTAGAAAAAAAACGGAGTGCGAAGGGCCGAGCTGTGTGAGAAAAAGCTCATTGTGAAGGAAAATAAAAGATTGTGGACTCGGGGGAGAAAGCTAAAATGTCAGAGTGGATGTTCTGAGAAAACAAGCTCGGTGTCCAACTTCATGTCTTTGTTGGTCGTGTTGAGGACTTTACCTGTGGCGAGTGAAAAAGGTGAGTGATTTTTTGGTCGAACTGAGGAAAACGAGACAAGATTTAAACCAGAGAAAAACGTTAGGCCACTCTCTGTCAGGAAGCAGGAATCCTTCAGTGTTAAAAACTTAAATAACTTCTTATATCAAAGTGAGAATGTTTCTTTAAGCGCTTTGAACGTTTGTGTGACTGGACTTGCAGACAGAGGTGGGTAGTATAAGGTATATGTATTCAATTCCAAGTCAAATTTGAAGGATTTATACCTTAAAACTATAATATTTTTGCTTATACGGCTATTAGTAAGTACTAAAAGGGATATTCTTTTTCCTCAGCTCCATTTTGTCCTTTTAGTTCCTAACTGTTTTTTAAATTATTTTATGTCATTCAGTTCTGTTGGTTCAGCTCCTGGTTTGCTTTACTGTTGCTCATTCCTCTCAGGTTAGCATTAGCATTTTATTTTAGAGCAAACAAAAAGAGAAGAATAGAGCCTAATAAAATGTAGCCCCTATGCTAATAGATGTACTCCACTGCAGGTGGAGGTGCTTGAAGGAGAATTCCAGCGATTTTTCAAAATTTCTGCATAACGTGATGGTTGAGATTCAAACAAAGTCAGAGTGGTTTGATGTGAAGTGGTTCATTTGCAGAGAAACTCACAGACTCAGATTTCTTCACAGCGGCGGTGACAGCGGGGGTCACAATGTCTACAACACAAATATAGCCATTTTTTATTGACTCTCCAACACCACCAGTGAACCTACACGTGAGTTTACATATGTAATGTTGGTGATGGTGAAATAGTGGTCAGTCTAAAAAAAATTGTTTTCTTTGAGGATGATGTTGCCTTAGAACACCCTTCATGTATCCCTCCACCATGAATGGATTAAAATAAATTCATTAAAATATGATGTAGACCAAAACTACCATAAAACAATGTCTCAAACATCAGGCAGCGTATTCATAACCATTTCATGTAATAACTTGCTGTGAGGGAGCTTTTAAAGGTGGACGTCTGGTTCCTATCACCACCACTGTGAACAGTTCTGACTCTGTAAGTTTCTCTAGAACAGAGCATTTCACACCAAACCACTCTGAATGACTTTGTTGATATGTCAACCATTTAATCATGCAGAAATTTTGAAAAATCAGTGGAGCTCCCCTTTAAGTAGCATGTGGATCTGATACTTTGGTTTCTACTAGGCTACTTGTACTTCTACTTGAGTCATTATTTCATTTAAGTCGCTGCTTGAGGATGGTTATTGTCTCTGGTCAGACTTTATGACAGAGAAATGTATTCTCTGGAATGGGCCTCCATTGCTTGTCCACATCCAAAGAACTGTGTTCATCCTACCGCTTTAACAAAGCTGATAAAAGGCCTCATCTGAGCATAAATGTAACATATTTAATGACTTATTCCTTTTTTAACTGTTCCTACATGGTCAGAACTTTGAAAACATTTAGCCTGTTGACCGTACACTCCAGAATTCGTAACTCGCTTTGCCCTTTGGTTTATTTAACTTGCTTAACCCGTTTTTGTCCATCACTACAGTTCGATTTACGTGATTCTTTTTTTTCCCCATCATTTGCAGGTTAAAGGAGAGAAAGAGGCACTGGTGGTGGTGAGGAGGATCTTTGGGAGTATTCCATCCTCTTGCTTCGTTCCAGTTTTCTCTGTTTTTGGTTTGGAAGGAGATGACAGAGAAAAAGATAGGTGAGTTCTGAATGCACAAAAGCCTTTTCTCTCTTTGACAGCAGACATCGGACGAGTGCGCTGTTAAACATTAATGGAGCGGGCTTCTGCTGACTTATTTGTGGATAGGACATGTTTTGTTCAGACTGAATGTTATAAGCCAGTTATTAGTACTGTAACAAGGTCAAAGGTTGTTTAACTGGAGTTCAGGTGATGTCACCAGACCTATTTGTCAACAGGGTTTGATGAAAGAAATATGTAGAGAAAAGTAAGAGGAGAGACGGAGCTCAAGCATTGGACAGAAATGACACTTTTAAGGCGATTCAACACTGAAAATTGAAAAATTCAAGATGAAACCCTGTCTTACTCTGTTGTCATGCTGGGGTTTTATTCAGAGGCTTTAGGACTATTTGAATGGGATTACTTCCCCGTGGGAATGTAATTTTACCACATGACGTCTGTAATGTTTATGACTGACTCGAACAGGAATATCGCAACATATAACATTTAATTAATTCTTTTACTCTAACCATCTGTCTTGCACTGGGTCATTAGCATTGTTATCAGCTTAAGAATTTACAGGCGGCAGCCAAGATCTACAGAAAATCGACCTTTTTCTGTAATTTGTACACATTTTAATGCTTTATGTTGTACACCTGAGGTAGGATAGTGAATATTGGCTTGATATTAGCCACAAAGAGCACAAGTAAATGCTTCTTTGAGGGCTTCCACACTTAAAAAAACTTATTTTCCACAGAATATGAAAGCATTTATACCATATTGAGTCGCATGAGATTAATATAACATGGGGTTATTTTCTACATCTTATTTTATTGAAGGTAAAAGGCGCTGGAATCTTTACAGACGCAAGAGAGCGCGCTCAGTAAAAATAACTGACGTGTCGCATTCAGATAGGACTAAAATCACTGAGAAACTATGGTAAAAATGACATTAGCACATCTCTTTATATAAAACTTGTGCCATTGTCCCCTTTAACCAAAATCTGCCCCACATGCATGTCCACACTGGCCATAATAAAATGGATGAAGTCATTCAGAATGATCTGATGTGAAATTATCTAGTCTAGAGAAAATTGTTTACAGTGGTTTTGATAGGAACCAGACATCTGAAGGTTTAAAGAGCCTCTAAAAGCTCCCTCACACAAAAGTTATTACATGAAACAGTTACAGACACGCTGCCTGATGCTTGAGATATTGTTTTAAAATAGTTTTGAGATGAGGTTTTGATCTTAAACCTGTTTTTGAAATACATTTACACATCTGAGTGCCCAAAGAAAAGCTTTTTTTCCAATTTATTGCTATTTTACCATCAACATCAGAGGTCCACTGGTCATTTTGAATAGCAAATAAAATGGCTATGTTTGTGACCCCTGGTTTTTGTCACCACCATTGTACAGAACAGAGTTGGTTTCTATACAATGCGTCATTTAACATCAAACCACTCTGAAAGATTCTTTTTAAACCTCAATGTCTGAACAACACAGAAATGTTGAAAAGGAGGTGGAACTTCCATTCAGTTAGATTAAAGAGTTAAATTTAGCATAGGCCCAAATAGGGCTGGGCGATAAAACGATAACGATAATTATCGCGATATAACTTTTCCTCGATAGAGCGATACGACATGTTCGATAAATGTTCGATATAATACACCATTCTCACACTTCCACGTTCAGCGAAAGCCTTGGTGGCGTTTTCTACTGCAAGGAAAGTGACACTACTCTGCTGTCGCCAGGAGAGGGCGCACTTCCGAGTTTTTCTACATGATTAGAGAGGGAGGGGGCCACGAGTAAGATGAGTCTTTAGCAACGGCTGAAACGCGGAGTTACACATCCCCTGTTTGGGTGGAGCGGCCGGCGATCTGCTCTCCTGTGACCGAGTCTGAGTGACGAGGTCAGTGGTGTAACTATACTTTGGCGGCGTTAAATCACAATCCTCACAACTACAGCGCTGTTACAGCGCTCGGATAGTCATATTTAAGTATTAGTGCATTCCCAAGCAACGAAAGTGAAAGAAAGAAGTGGGTTCATGTAAATTACAGCCCTGATTTAAACGAAAGTGAACTGAGGAAGCTGTGAGGCAGTGGAGAGCGGGAGAGCGCTAGCTTTCCAGACTAGCTGTTTTTAGCAGCTGGCTAACTTGAAGCAGCGCTCTGTCACTCATACAACACAGGGAATTGATAATACTGTAGATCAAACACGACACAAAAGCACCAAGAAATAATGATTTGACATTTATCGTGGTATGTATCGATATCGAACGATATGATAACATTTTTGGCCATATTGCCCAGCTCTAGGCCCAAAAATGTTATGCATAATCTTAAAAACTTGCTCAATCTTGGTTAGAAATGTAGTGTAGATTTACATAGAATGTGTATAGTTCCTAGTTCCCAGTTTTCAAGATACTTTTATGGTAACAACTGAAATACTTCAATGCTACAGAGTATCGAAACATTCCTTGTCATTCAATACCAAGTTTCAGTACCTAAGAACTCGATCTGATCAGCATCTGTAAGCCAAAACGCATGCTTGTTCTATCTAGACTACTGATTAATTGTGTAAATTACAGTCTATAGTCATGTTATTAATGTCAGATTGCCTCTTGATTAGTCTGCGGTCCATTGCAGTCAATAAACACACCAAATTTCCAGCCACTCAGGCTCATTTCTGGTTTAAGCCACACCCACTTTTATAATGTAAAAGATAGTTTAAGGAAAAAAATCATCTTTTAGGCATCAAAGTCAAAGTATTAGGTATCGATACCCAGCCATAAAGCTAAATAAACACCGTTGAGCCCTACACCTTCTAGTAAAGCAGGCATTTAGTCGTTGGTTTTCTAGAAAGCGTACCGCATTGAAATATCAACACCTCCGAAGAGTTAACCAGAGGAATCTGTTTCAAATTACTAATGACTTCTCTCAGAATGTAATGAGATTGTTTTACATGTTACTCCCTGAAAAAAGTAATGGAATTGCTCATTACTTTACTTCTACATTACCCACACAGTCAGTATCCTGACACTGAACAAGACGCAGACAAAAGTACTTCTGTTTTTTTACATCATTTGAACAAGGCCGTTTATGTTGTGTGAACCTTTCATTATGAATGGACCAATAGAAACGCTCTAAAATTGCTTGCAGTAAAATCTCTTTAAATTAAGTTACATTAATAGAAAGGAACGTGTTTTCCTTCTCCTGTAAAGTTGCCATTTTGGAGATGCGTGTTGGACAGCAATGTTATATTGATGAAAAATGATTTTTGGTAACAGGGAAATAAGCCAGTAGATACAATTCAGAAACAGCTGCCTCCAAATAAAATCTTTACACTTGCAGAGCTGTTTCTGAGTGACAGTCGAGTCTGGCCTGTTTTCGGGAGATTGGGACTCTTTCTTATTCCGCACATGGTCTTTTATCCATCAGTTTCATGAGTGCAATTAGATACTTTGACAGATTGTTTGCCAGGTTAACAGCACTTTCTGCACTACTCACATTCACAGCGAAAGTTTCATGTCATCATAAATGTCTTACAGTCTTGATATCTTTTTTGATTTGGTCTTGTCTTGGTCTCAGGTTCAAGTAGACTAACTAATTGTTCCAAAAAGACAAGCCGAGTGATGTGTTAAGTATAATGAATGTACAATGAACCACAAAATAATTTCAGTTTCTTCTTTTCTATTTATATTCTGGAAAAATCTTAATCTGGCGTCGGCCTTGACTCGGTCTTGGACTCTCCTGGTCTTAGTCTTGCCTCCGACTTGACTGCTACAAAATCTTAGTCTTGACTCTAGACATGATATGTCCAGGTCTCAAATTATGTACAAAGACTGTCTTTGTAGAGGAATTGTATGTTTTAAGTGCATTGCCTGTAATCAATGTGGTCCTTTTTGAAACATATGAGTAACACAAGTTACATAATTAAGTCAGTAACTAATGTGATTATAAGATTTTCAACTGTATTACAAAAAAGTACACACATGACTTCATTGCATTACTTCATACCATGTAACACCCAACACTGGTATTAACAGTAGAATAAAGAAAGATAGCACGATAAATTCAGTTTGTTAGGACAGAATTACACTCAGTAGACTCACCTCAGGAAATGCTTTGATGAATCAACAGCTGTAGTCGCTCTCAGAGGAGATTTTAGCTCCGTTCCAGCTGAGACTCTTTTACGAAGGTGTCTCTATACTGTCTGCTGAGTGGAGATTGGGTAACGCCTATGGCAAGGAGCTGATTCGCACACACATGTTGTTTTCTGCCCAGTCATTTGTTAAATTGACCTTACGCAGTTGTACGTTGAGATGATGATTGGGGGTTATGGGATAATGGAGCTAAGCATGCAGGGAACCGCTACTTAGTGGAATGTTTTTGATCCCTGTTATGGGTATGTAAGTCTTTAATCCAAAAAAGGAGAAACTTGGATCAACATCCTGACAGTGCTGCTCATTGAAAAGGATGACCTGCAGACAAATTGTAAGTTTAATAACAGATATGTATTGTTAATATGCCACCTGTTAATGATTGCTGATTGCTAGATGTTTTATATGACCAACATTGATCTCCAGTCAGTGAATAAAGCGATATCTTTAGACATTAAGCTCTTTATTTTCCATGCCTGTGTCTCCGACTAGCCTGAACACAGCCAAAAGCACTCAGGTATGCAGTGGACTTCTCCACATCATAACACAGCATTATGTGGTTTTACTGGAGCTGGAGATCAAGCAGCGTTCATGACTCAGACATCCATGACTCACTCAGGACAAACTCCCCCGCAGTCACTAGTAACGTCTTTAGGAGACAAAATAGTGACAAACAGAACTGTCCTCGTAGCAGGCGCATTTCTTTGAGGTACATTTTGTGACAGAGAATGTTGGCAGTGGTATAGTTTGTATTGGATTTGCTGGCTATTTTTGTTTCTGTGTTTTAAAAAAGGAATTCCGCTGATTTTTCAAAATGTCTGCACAGTCCAATTGCTGAGATCTAAACAAAGCCTTTTAGAG